TCTTTTCCAAAAAATAACCTCTCCTAAAAATATCCTGTGAATGATTTCTGATTCAATTCCATAACGAATGTTTGGAATACAAACTGAATAGATAGAAGTGGTTATTGTATAATTCAGTATTCATATGAAAGTATTTGTTTCGGAAGTATTTTTATTCCGTGTAATTCAATGTTTATTTGAAAGTAATTTATGTCTGAATGTTCTGAAAAACCAATAATTATTCTTTTAATTTTTCAACAAACTATTCAAAATCCCTCCATACATGGTAAAGAACCGACTAGTAATATAGCAATGTATGATTGAAGAAAACTTCAACTGAACTAAACAGCTAATGATTTCTTAGAAAATAATACGTTTTCAAATGTTTTCATTAAAACGTACTGTTTCCTGCAAACCATTATTCATCAATGTGTGCCATATATGGAGTTCTTCAGAGCTCGAGGTTATACTATTGGATAGCATTATCAAGATTTGTTACTGTTCCTGCATCGTGGATGTTTTCGATCGTTAGTTTCAAATATTGTTTTCCAAATTTTTGGAGTAATCAATGGGTAAGTAATCTTTTCTGCTAAATAGGCTATGTTTTTCGATTTCTGCAGCTTTTTCAATTTGTCGAATCTTCGGATTTTGTAGTTGTGCTGTTTTGTGGAGTCGAAATTAATCTATTTGTAGCTGGTGATAAAAGAGAGCGGAGGAAATATCATTACTTATATCTCCAATTTATTCAGACTTCCTAAATGTGTTTCGTGTTACCTGTGACCCCAAAAAATATCAGGTAGTCGCATTATTTTATGTATAATGATTTTATTTGTACACTTGAAACATACAATTTTAAAATATCATTTGACCTGGTCTATACTAATTTTATATTGACCTTCCTGATATCTTAATTGTGATAAAGCATATTGTTATCATTACTAAAGACCTACACCCTACGTCATTGTTTGATAATTTTGTCGGTCCAAAACTCGTTTTCGGTCATTTAATATGATGCCCACTTAGAAATGTTTCCTTGTCTTCACCAATCATTATATTATTAAATGAAATAAAGGTTCATATCGACTTACCTCTAATGGAATAACCATAAATCATTTTACGAATGACTTTTTGAACGATTTAGGCAAAGTTCAGTTGTGAACACTTCATCAATACAATAGTAATGATTTGCCATTATTTTCTCTATGAGTGAAAGACAAAATGCTGTCATTTAAATATACTCAAGAAGCAAAATGAAATATTTACTAATTACGCCAAAACTTTCTACAGTTCTAGGTGATTTTTACCATTGTACTTGTCATAGGACGTGAAAAATGCGTTGATTAACGATTTCCACGCGCACTTTTCCATGGAAGTAATATATAAACAATGCATTTAAAAAAAATTGCGCCTTAATCGTTTTCATAATGTATTTTTCAAAACTTTGCTCAAATTCAAGTAGTCAGTCGAGTATCTATCTGACTATTGGATTTTGGGGTATCTTTTGATGTCAAAGCAAATGAAATATGTTCAAAACATCAGCTAGTGGTCGAGGATAATGGCAACTAGATTTTAAATTAGATCAACTTGAATAGAACATTGTTAGACTCCTACCCTATAATCATTATGATAGTGTTTCAGAAGCACAAATTCATTCTCAAATATCCTTTGAGGTTTTTGAATATATTAAATTTCGGGCATGAAAACAAAAACGAAATCTACACAAATAGTGCTGGTTCATCAAGACAATACACAGTGTCACAAATCAATGAAAACGATGGCAAAATCGCATGGAATGGGCTTCGAATTGCTCCCGCATATACAATATTCGCCAGATTTGGCTCTCAGGGACTACTGGCTGTTCGCAGACCTCAAACAAATGAAATGCTCACCGTTAAGAAATTTCACTCGAATGAAGAGGTTATTGTTGAAACTAAGGCGTATTTTGAGGCAAAAAATAAATCGTTCTACAAAAGTGGTATTGAAATGTGGCGCTGAAATGATTGTGTGGCTCTTGGTGGAGATTACGTTGCTGAATGAAGCTAATTATGAACAAAAACAAAACTCGTTTTCTCTCTTAGGCCCAGGACTATTCAGCCCAGGTGTTAGGACCAGACTCAGTTTTAACAATGAATTATAAACAAAACTAGTAAAACGGTTTGAAAATTTGTTAAAATGTTCATTGAAAGCTTGGAGAAATATTATGAGAATAGACTGAGAGAAAAAGTGAAGAATAGACAAAGCAGAAAAAGGGAAATAAAATTGATAATAAAGTCAAAAAATACAGAGAAAATGTTTTGAAACAGATAAATCCTGATAATGTAGATGATAGCGTAGTAGATAAAGCAAACAAAGTTGAAATTGTAGATAAAGACGATGAGATTAACAAGAAAGTGATACTGAATTGGGTATCAGTTGCACAAAATTTACAGAACCTACTCATAATGCGAATATTACTGTTTGCAACTGGCCAATGCTTTGATTTCATACCAAAAAGCGTTTATTTGGACTGATACAAGCAATAGAATATTTATTTTTACAACTTTTATATTGTTTGTTGAATCAATCAACAAATTCATATGTTTACACATCGACAGAGGCGATTTTAGTCCTAATACATGACATAGGTATATGTATGTATATATGTTTGTGCATGTATTCCTAAAGGTTTATTCAGTTTCGACACGTCGCATTGTGGGAAGTGGATTTCAACGAAAAATATTGTATGCCAATCCACTATCTTATACAAATATCATGATTTTATTCCGAAAACTGCTCAACTTCTAGTATTATCTTTCAAACAACAGATTGTTTCCGTCAACAATAAATTCACTACAGCAATTCAAAAAGATTTTTTGTTATGTTAACAAATTTAATATTTCACAAAAATGCCAATAAGAAAAGCCACTCTGACCATTCTTTGATGAGATATGCATCGCCACTTGGCGACAATGTTCCCTACAAAAAGAGAAAAATACGTGTTGCGGTTTTGTAAGTTACTGTTATGAATATCAGCAGAAATTTTGTGTGACCTTATTTTATTTTTATCAATTTTAGGAAAGATTTTATATTCAAGGTCTGCCTACATATCCTGCAGATTATTCGTTGTTTTGATTTTTGGGTTTGGGACTTTGTTCACGAGATGGAGCAGTTTACGAAATGGAGTTGGTACAAGTTAATAGAGTTTGCCTCAGACGAAGGTTTTATATATACATTTGAGATATGATGAAATTATTCAAGTTCCTGCACTGACGAGAGGAAATACCTCCGAAACCGGTCTGAAAGTGACTGTCAAGACTATTCTATTGAGGTCACTTGCATAATATATATAATTGTCCATCGTAATACTAACAGTGGAAGTAGTTATTTAACGGCAGGCATTTGCCTGATCTACCGTGCAGTAATGTTAACTTGGAAAGATTCCCACATTTTTCCAGGAAGTGTTGATAGCTTTGTACAATATAGTGCCTTCAGGATCCACTGAAACGGAGTCATTATCTATCGAACATTTGAAGATATATCAACATATGTCAGATTTACGCTATTGAATTGTGTGCGGAGGGATTGGATAAATCCAACCTCACTCACAAGTCAATAAAAATATTCTCCGACAGTCAAGCGGCGTTGGAAGCTCTTGGCTCCCACCGAGCAACGTCTAAATTGGTAGCAAACTGCCAAAAAAGACTCTCCTCGATAGGAAGACTAAACAGATTGTCTCTGGTCTGAATTTCTGGCCATACAGGCTTGGAAGGCAATGAAGCTGCTGATTCTCTTGCAAAGGAGGGTGCTGCAAGAGGCTTCATTGGAACAGAACCTGTCGTTGGCATCGCTTTGGGCTTTGCCAAACAAACACTTAACACCTGGATGGCAAGATGAGTTATGGACTTCTGGCAGAATCTTCCAGGATTGGCCCACTCCAAGGCGTTTATTCACCCCTCGAGCTTGATTTCAAACAGTTGTTGGACTACAGTAGGGATGAACTACGATCTCTAACAGGCCTTCTTACAGGTCACTGTCATTTGAATCATCACATGCAGAGACTTGGACTGTCGGAAGACAGTGTGTGTCGCCTCTGTCTGGAAAATGATGAAACTGCAGAGCATATACTTTGTGCTTGCCCCGCTGGGGACCGAATCAGGTTCTTTGAGTTCGGCAGATCCGTACTTTCACCATCTGACCTGAAAGACCACTCACCATATAAACTAATCGGCTTCTTCAAGAAACTGAGTTTATTTGGCCGAGTGTGAATAGGTGTGAGCCACAATAAACCCTGGGTTGCGGTGGAGGATCGAATAGACCCACTCACTTTTGACCTACTTATCTACCTACATATGTCAAAGCCGAGAAAGTTTTTTTGACGGCAAGAAGACAATATTTTGTCCGTTGTGTGCGTTATTAGAGTTTCGGCATTTTACAACGAGACATTGTACCCCAATATGTTCAAGTATGTTTGTTAACATACTGTCGACATTACTAGTGAGTATGTCTACTCCGGAAAAAATATGTTTAACGTCAAGGGGCTTGAAAACCTACTTGAAAAATTAATTTAGATAGGAGGGAATATCTGGCTCAGATTCACCAAGTCTTTGAGATAAGAAGTTATATCAGAATTTGTATTACCCCAAACTGGATAAAATTTCGCTATATTCTAGATTTATAAATTCTGCAGTTTTCTATAAACCTATTAGATATCAACATGCGTCAATCATCGTTAAAACACAGGAACTCATACATTCCTTTTTGATAGGGATAGAGCTTCACAGAAATTTGAAACACTAATTCGAACTATAAAGTTGTACACACTCCAGCAATTTTAATTGCTCCATAAAGCTCAGATTATATCTTATTTGAATATGTATCACATATATAGAGTTCTAACCGAATAGAAAATCAAAAGGTTTGCATTTTTTCTATAGATACTTTCATGGGAAATGTTCGACTAACTTAGAATATTGCCGAGACGATCTTTATTAAGAATATTTGAGAATATTTTTTTCATCTTTGTTATAAGTAGTCATACTCACTGACTCGTCTTTCCGTTTTCTGGAAACGTTTGTTGGCAACTTGAGATCAGCAGCGATTTGCATATTCTCGCCAACTGTTAATAGAGGCTGCAACCGATCGTCTTGTGTGATGTAACATGACCATTTTCTGAATTCCTTCAAGTTCCTGATCCTTCCATTAGTGTACACCGATCCTCCTATACCACGAATTCTGTAGCCACTCAAAACATCCAGCAAGGTGCTCTTCCCAGCACCAGAAGGCCCCATGATAGCAATTAGTTGTTTCGGTGGAAACCTTCCATTGATTCTGTGCAAAATCTCTTTTTTACCTGGAAGTAAGGAAGTCAGTCAGTTAGTTAGGAAAGTTCCATTTCTCCTCAATGAGCAGTTGTAAATTTCATATTTTCAATATTTATAGACCAAAGAGAAAGTTCAATCACTATAATTATAAAGTATAATAGACGTAAAGTGTCCAGTTGTTATAAAATTTGATCATTTCACGTACTTTTTTTATTTAGAAGACTGAAGATTTCGTTGAATAGCTGAAGCTTATGAATGTACGACTTCAAGAACAAAAAAATAAAATAATAGAGGATAGAGGTGATAAAGATGAGTGAAAATGAGAAAGAAACACGAGAAAGGAAAAGAAAGCAATAATCAGGAGATGTGGGAAATTATGGGAGAAGAAAAACTGGAAGGAAAAGAATGCAAAAGGAAAGTATAACAAGAGGTTTTCTTGAAACATAACAAAAGGAAATGAAGAGGAAAGAAGAACAGAAGAATTATGAATTGAGAATGTTCAAGCATTTAGTGAAACAACATTTTTTGACATAGAGAGATTCCAACAAGTGTAAGATCAAATTCTTGAGGTTAGAGACCTAATCAAAAAAGTTCGAGGAGGAATCAAAGAAGTTCGAATAGAAATAAAAAAATCTGTATTTTCAACTGAGTTGAAAACGTGAGAATCAACCATCGACAGAAATATGGAAGGCCTAGTCGAACAGATTGAAAGAATGTTCACAAAATATGAAAACTCTGACCCGTTACTTGATAAAAATCAATAACACTATACCTGATAAGAATTAAAGAATTTTCATAATAAATTTTATTTGAAAAGTGTTTCGCTACACGCAAGCTTCATCAGTAACTGATTACTGGTAGGACGGTAACTTGGCGGGTTGACGTGGGTGGTCAGTTCCACTCAGTCAATCGACCGCTGTGCGAACCGGTGGTTCGAACCGCAAAGCCGGATGATAGATTTTCACCTCCTATCGTCCAACCCGTGATAGGAATCACACGTTAAAAGGTGAGACCTTGTTAGTCCATAGCTCGCACAAGTTTTGACTTTTGAAGGTTGTCGTTCGTAAGGAGCGATAGTTGGTAAACGGTGAGGTAAGTTGAGCAAAGGTATGGGGCAAGTAGAACACTTGAAATGTCTAGCCAAACCATGGGTTTAACGATAACTAGAGATGAAATAAAATTTTTGTTCGACAGTGAAGTCTTTATTCATAGTATTTTAGTCATAAATCAAGGAAACTTAAAATATTTTTCTTTCAATTATTAATTAAGAATAGAATTAACAAAACATCAACCTATCTCAAGTTCAACTTTAGGATTATATATATATATATATATATTTCGGTTCAAAACCTAACTTTAATATTACGAGTATATTATGATCAATATAAGCTATATATCTCATAAGAAAAAATAATAAGATCTCAGAAACTTAATCAATGTCGTCACTGTTACAATTGACACAAACGAAAGTAAGACCAACACCTCGCACACACTTTCTATGTGCCCATTCCCTGCAAACTTGACACTGGATCCAATTTTCTCCTGGTAAACTTTCGGAATAGTCTTCGCAACAAATTAAACAGGAATAATCGATATCGTTGCGTGCACTTGCCTCACTTGACTGGAGTATTTTTTTACAGACAATCTTCATGTTTTTTATCCATATTCTTCTTTGGCTTTGTGTGGTTATATTTTGTTGTTCTTCTAAAGCATCTGTAGGTATAGCAGCTTTTCCCTTTCTTCTGTTAGTTTTAACCAGCTTTCCTTAGCCCATTCTTTTCCCGCCATCTTATTTGCAGTCTAAGAAGATGAAGTTTTAATGACAAATTTAACAGCAGACTCGTAGACAACGCGACGAACGTCTTTTGGGGAATATCCATAAAAGATTGATGTCGTTTGCCGCAAGTATTTTTTTAAAGAGTCCTACTGTTAGAGAGAAATAACTTGCCTCGGTGTTGCATAACCACAAATCTTGTCAAAGTCATCCGTTTGATACCGAATTCTTTAGCGGCGGCACTCACACTTTTTCCCTCATCGTTGACAGCCTTTGCAACATTATTCTTCATTAGTCTTCAGTAGTATAAGAACATCTCCTCATTCTTAAAAAAAAAACTTACACCAAACCGATCTTCTAAAACAAAAATGAGGTTACGAAAAAACGGTAATAATTATACCCACAACCTCTATACATATCAAAAGCATAATAAATTTATGGAAGAACAACACTAACCTGACCGAAAACAGATAGCATTGGACCAATAGTCAGTAACAGCACAGAATTATAGTCACAATTACTACAAGTGAGAGTCGCAATCACGTTTTTAGCCACCTTATCAATCAATTACAACAAAAAAATACTCTTTTTTCGATCGCATTCAGTATTGGAATTAAATGCATTTAATGAAACAATGGATTCAAAGTCTAACTCAACAATATATCAGATTGAGTTTGAAGTTCAAACGTTCAAGTATAATCAAAAGATAACCTGATCATTAGAAATACGTGAATCATCCATTGATGATAAGTAAAACGATATAGGAATATCATGGTTCAACTTCACAATTTCTCAATACTCATACTCTCAATTACTTACTTAAAGTAAAAGTAATCATATTTATAGTTCGATTCAAGTAATCCGACCTGATCACGTATACGCCTCATTCAGTTTGCCAAGTGTTTTTTTGTTTCAATAGAAAATTGTTTAACAAAGAAAACCCACCAAATTCTCACAAAATCCTTACCAAATACACCAAATTCTTTATCTTTGAAAAAATATGCTTTTTTTCTTGAAAAAATGACGATTTTACTGAAATTTTACACTAAGATTAATTCAATAGTCGCCATATACCAGTCAAAAAATAATATTTCACTTTGTGAAAAAAATTCTTCCATTCAAGAGATTTAGACTTTCTTGCTCAACTTCTTCACTCTTTATAATTCATGAATTTGTTCGAATGTGCCATATTGATCTGAAATGAAGTGAGAGGCCGTCCATTATTCACGTGATGTTTTTTTAGCATTTATTAACCCCCTCTCCCTTGATGATATGTGGTTAGGTTTAAGACTGACCCACTCCCACACCCAAAATCACGTGTATTTTTTAGTAGGTACCTACCTATAAAGAATCTTCAAATTTTTCCTTTCTTATACTTTGCAAATAAGTCACAGATCACCTAGTTTAAACATTGTTTTGATGAAAAACGTACGAAGTGACGGTGTATGCATTTATTCGGCGCCAAAATAACAGAATATAAACTGGGACTGGCAAGCCGAGCCGGGCGTGCGCGGCGCAAGGCTACTTCGTTCGCTGGCAACGGCGAGTCAAAGTCACATTACACGCCGTTTTTCGATTTCAAAATCGCGCGTTTCACAAAAAAATTAATACACGTGATATCTTATTACAACCCCTTGCCCTTTGTGATATTTCCTGACTTTTGCTAAACCCCCTCCCCCTTTCAAGCCTCACGTGATTAATGGACGGCCCCTAATGGCAGAAGTCGAAATCAATATGACGAGTGCGTATACACTACGTCAAAATCCCACTACGTCAAAATTCCACTACATCGATATCTCATTACGTCAAATTATTACTATGCAGCAACGATTCATTACACATACTTCATCAATATCTGACGATATAAAACACATACTTCATTTATTTTGGAAACATTAATGGGAGAGATCGGTTTTGGAGAAAAAAACGTTTTGCTTTGTTACTGTTCCATCTTCAAACAAAAAATATGGAAAACTTTCGAAAAACGGAAGAAAGCAATTATATTCATAATAAATCAATGATGCGTAGATCATGAACAAAAGTTTCTTTCATACACAAACTGGAAAAAAAGTCATTCGGAAACAACTACTTTCGCATGAACATTGAATTACATGAAAACTACTCTTTTCCATTCAGTTTTTACTACAAACATTCTTCATAGAATTGAAACAGATATTATTCATAGAAACGATATGGAAGTGCTTAATGTAACAGCCTGGCCACAGGACACTCGCCGATGCGAATATTCGCGTGGTGCGAACGGCGAAGCGTCTAGCGACTGAAACAAACGCATAGGAATGTACTTATGAAGCCACGCGCAACGGCGCGTGCATGAATGCAACAAATGCATGAATCTGTACGGCGCGAGCCACGGAGTCGAGCGGTAGTCGCGGCGAATAGTGCAGTGATCAAACGAGTTTAGATGTTTTCACCGCGAAAAATGAACAGCGAAATTTTTATTGCTGAATAAAAGACTGATTGAAAAGTTAGAAATTCATTCTACCGTCAATTACAAGTTAGAAGTTGTTTTTTGTTTTAGTTGTACGAAAAATTACTATCATATAATTTAGATTTTTGCAATAAATAACATAATTATCTGAAAGGGTTTTTATTTCATGAAATATTAATATACAGTGTAACATTTAATTAGCTGATAATATTTTGGGCAAAGATAGTTCCAAATAAATTTAGTTATAAAAAATTCTGTTTGCGATCATTACTTTCTTTAGAAAAGTTGTTCATACTGATGGATACTATAGGTAATTCTCCAAAATATGAATATTGAATATTGAATATTACCTGTATACATAGGTATATACATGAATACGTAATGTATAGATAGGTAAGTACATACCTTAATGTCAAAAACAATTTTTCAGCGGCACTTAAAATTCTATTTGCATTAACTTTTTTCTCCAATTCTGGTTGAATATTCATAAGAATATGACATAAAGTTTCAATACTAATTCTGGTGTACTCAAAAAATGTTTTTGGATATAATCTGTATTTCTCGTACTTCTTGTGGAGTTCTCCATTTATAGCCCGACTCTTATTCAAATCATGTACTCCACAATATCTTCCAAATATTAGGTCTTGAACCAAAAAACTATTACTTTCCAAGCAATATCGAGATAATTTCGATAAAGACATTTCGCTGTCGGACTATTGGTCGCGACGGCGAACGTGACTGCCCGTGGCCTGCAAACGGTGTCGCGCGAATGGTCGCCTCGCTCCCCGCTTCGTCGTTCGCACCGC